CTTTGGACTAACAGTTATTTAAAGTCTTATAAAGAACTGTCATTCATGGTGACGACTATGTGTGGCGTCCATCAGTAATGCCCAGTTATAATTTCTGTCCGACTTTGTTTTGCAATGACTCTCCCAAGATTGATCTCTACCCTGAAGATCTACTGATTAACATAGTGTACATGATACGTAGTTGTATGAACAAAGACTGTAATAAGACCTAAGACTATTTAGACACGTTGAGTGAATAAATAAAACTCAATCAGTCAGTCATAATGTAGAACCTAGACATATGTACATAAGTTCAAGCTGCCATGCCCCATTAGCACAAAGAGACGAATTCATTAGGTCAAATACCAGAATGATAGAGGTAGTAACAGTATCAGTGGTAATAGGAAACATTAGGTATCGAAGACACAACTCGAAAAGAACGTATAAATTAGCGAAATAAAAACACCTAAAAAACTTGTGAGGTATTTAGAATAACAGAATTTGGAGGAAGACAAAAAATGGATGCACCGACGCGATTGCAAATGAATTTTAGTTATGTCATTCAAAGCCTTTCACTATTTGTTACGATAATTAGGTGGACCCCAACCAGTTAGTCTGTACTTACTAACATGGCTAAGTCCAATTGTCAGTAACTCCATAGACCAATGCTGTTTTAGTTTGACCGCCCCTAGTTTTCTTCCCGCCTTCTGCACAAGAAAACATCGCCCTTAGAGGTGAGCGCTGGTTGGGCATGCGTAATACATGTCCCAAACACCGAAATAAAGCTATTAACATATGCTTTGGAAATTTCATATGCCAAATGATGTTCCATGAATGATTTACTCTAAAATACAGTTTAGAATGGACAATAAGTTAGGGATGTATATTACTTTGCTTAAGTGAATATTTATACTAACGCTAATGAAATAATCTTTGAAATATTCACAGTAATGCAGAAATCTCGTTTGGCAACGTGTGTTGTCAGTAGAGTTGATAAGTAGTTTGGAAGTGAGTATACTAACACTATTACGCTGTTACTTTGCTATTATAAGACGCACTTTAACAGTGAAAGATATGATTACATTACATCCATTCAACAACGGAGTTCTTAGAAGCATCTTTCATTTGTGGTGGAATAATTGACTAAATACTGTGTGAAGTTCTAGAAGAGGTTTAGTAAGTCAGTAATTTTGTAAACTTGCACTGCGATAGTTGGACTATGTACTACATATGACAAGCAACTGTCTAAACCGGAATGCGGTTTCGACTAAATGAGATCTAAGTTAGGAAAGATGTTTAGGATAACCAGACCAAAATATATTACCAGTTTATAAAGTCACCAAACATTAACGAATTATGTGAGAAAACCAATGAATTTCCTGGGACGGGATAGTATCTATGATATGATAGGATTTAGTGCTTAGTGACTCCATACGACATGATCCAGAATAAATCACAATAGTGTTTTATATGAGTTCATTCTCTGGATTTCTCTAGCTTTCGAATATTTTATTACTCGTCATTTTTTCCTTCTTTAGACATCTAATTACTTTAACATTCTAGTATTTCTAGACGTTATTGGATAATGCATCTCTGTTGTTTATTTAGTCTCACTGATGCTTAGTATATGGTCCTACTAGAAGGTATTATAGCTGTGTGAAAACTTTATTTACTTATCATACAAAAATGTCTTTTAAAATAATTATTTATTTTGTCTACATATTACAGACTTACTCGCAAAACTTGTAGCATATTGTAGGATGGTGTAGTAAAAAGGATTTTTAGTTGACTTGTTTATACAAATAAATCATATTATGAGCTGAATTAAAATGGATTTTGATTAGCTCCTAGACATTTAATATTCTTTAGAAAAAGAAACACAGATTTCAGTAAATTTCAGATTACAGAGCTGAGTTTTGATAATTTCGTTTGACAACAGGTATCTCAAAGCTCACGGTTTATGGACTGAGAATTATTTCCAATTGACATTATGTGTAGCAGTAATTTATGGCGAAAACGTCAGAAACATTTTGATTTATCCCTTAAGTTATGGAACGAATCGTTGTAAAATGTTGCTTATTATTATTATTATTATTATTATTATTATTAATGGCTTTATTCAATATTATAGTTTTGGTACAATATAGAATTCTCAGCACAGGTTATTTCAACAAGTTACTTACGCAACAACAACAAAAACACAGTAGCGAATACCAAAAAAAACTGTAAAACTTTTAAAATTAAGGATATGTTAAGAATGCAAGTTATTGACTAGGTTAACTCTAACAACCTGTTCGTCACAGAGTATATTTGCTAGGTAAGGTATTATAGTGTCTAAAAATTAAATTTTAACCTCTGATATGTACTGTAATCTTTGTTTAAAAATAATTAGTTCGTTAACTCCACGTAATATGTCTACTAAATCTTCCTTAATTTACTGTTTGTCACAAATTGTACCAATCACAAAAATACTACACTAGGTGATCCATTTTACTGATACTCTTACCAATGGGTTTACTTAAACCATCTTGACAAATAATGCTCATATTTATTATTAATTACTGATGAATACTAAATTTCTAAAATATCTCTATACACCACTGCTTTTCTTGGTCACTAGAAATCTTGCTTTTCTAAATTCTAACATACTATTCTGCTTTTCTGAATCGAAAAATGACGAAGAAGATGAATTAAGCATTTGAGGTTTAAAAAAACTATACGTATTTTCAACTGATGCTTTTATATGGGAAAAAATAACATTGTCAAAATCATCGTCTCGAACACTATGTCGCCTGAACCTCACGAATATATTCAAAGACAGTATGAACAGTGGGAAAATAACTTTATGACCACTAGTGTGTGTGTGTGTGTGTGTGGAAATCGGATAGTTTTGCCGAGTGTAGAGTAAAATAAACATTAGTGTTTTGAAGTAGTTCATGATGAAATATGAACTAGAAAATGGTAAACAGGAATACAGAACGGAAATAACGGTTTGTGCAACAAGAGAATTTAATCCTTTGTAATACTTATTTTATCAAGTGGACAATATTTGCGTGCATATTGCAAAAACTGGTACTGAAAACTACAGACAATCGTTTCAAAAAATCATTTGGCTTTTTCACCTAAGATTTTTTTATGATAAAAATTCCTAATGCTTAGCCTAAGAACCTTATAAGACTCATTCATCAAAAAAGGATAGAAGACATATCCTATTTAACATCGTTTATCTAATAGAAAACGAAGACAGAAGTAGCAAGATAACGGTGTTGCATACGCATCTTTCATCACTTTAAACCACCAATACTCAACAAGGTTGTGTACCACACCATTTTCATTTAAAAGAGATGATACTTTAAGAGGGATTTTAAAGCCTTACTGATTTAATCTCTCAATAGATTATAAAATGGTTGTATCTATGAAAAATTGTTATAAATTTCATAAAACAAAAGACTTTTCCTATGGATGTAGATCAGTAACTTCAGTAAAGTGTATTGTTTCACTGCCCTTTGTCATTTTTATTATGCCTGACGTCAGAAGGTATCTGAGTGTTAGTTACCAGAAATTCTGTTACTAAAGGTATATTTAGTATTAAGGGCAAAAGAGGATTTTTCTGCTATCTAATCAGAGACCAAAGTCTTGTTAAGAAACTTTCGAATTACATAATGAGAATAGTATGTTTCTAAGAAGTAATTTTTCCTTCATTTATAAGCTCTACATAATTCGTTGCGAGTTCATAACTAACTGATGTGGGTTCGAGATTAAAACCAGCTGCGGAGAGAATATATCCTCGATCATTTATTGCTGGATGCCCTTTGAACACAGTAGAATATAGCAGATATTCTGATTACCTCTATACACTAGAATTCATTTAATAACTGAAAGTGACAAAAGACCTTGAAAACAAAATACAAGCTTGAGCACGAGAAATAGATGTTTCAGTCTCCACTATTAACCCCACCTTGAATGAAGAACTCCACTACCACTCATAATAGAATCCCCAAGGTAAACTTCATACCGAAAACTCTTGAGAAAGGTCTGTAAAAGGTAAAGAAGCTCTTGGATAAAGTAAAGCATTCTGTTAAATCAATGACAATCTCGTTCTTTATGATGGAAAGTCTTTTTCAGAATCAGTTTCCTAACTCATAAAACAGATGAAGCCCTTACAATTCAAACAAAATTTCCACATTACGAAGATGAAGCCCCCGTAAATTGTAAGTTTTTAGGCGTTTGTAGTGAGGGTAGTGTTAGGTCAGGCCATTTTTCTAGAGAGGGTCTTAGGCTAAACTCTTACCGCCTTATGGAGAGTCCGAAAACCATGGTTGGTGTCCACTGGAAGGTATGTGTAGCACTATGATTCGGGAAAGTCACACATAAAAAAGACTGAGAAATGGTCGACTGGAAATTTTTGTTTCTTCACGACACCTGATGTTTGGCCCTGTAACCCCCTTGGTTGTAATCTCATAGAATATGCCTGAGACGTGATTGAGGAAATCACCAACTGCATTGCTTGTAACACAAAGACCCAATTGACCAAAGGTGTAATCAATGCCTTCCTTGTGGGTGTCGTAAACGCCACACATGTTAGCTCTGGGAGGCGGATAGATGATGCAGGGGATTTTAAAAGTAGCCTCCTTGTTTGAGTCTATTTTGACCGCCCTCATGCTAATATTTTTCGAATAAATTTATTTTTTACCGAGATTGTTACATTTTCCCTTTAAATAAAACTGTAAGGTTTACCCTGAACATCTTGTATGTAAACTAGCGAGAAGCCATGATGATAAACTGATCTCAAGAAATATTCCCTTGTTAAATTTAATTATATCTAATTCATAATTAGTGATTATAGTTGAAGTATGTACTTTACAAACAGTTAAACTTGTCTGCATTTAAAACCCAATTTTATTAAAATCACATCATTAATGGTAAAAAAAGTGTGTTTTTATACTATGACCAATGGAATTCAGCCACGTTGATTGTGATAACAAATAAAAGATCAATCAGAGACAAATTTAATAAGTTACCTTTGGTGCTGAATAGGTGTAGGGTCTAATCCGTTCGAGCTAGAGGGGACTTGTGGTAAATTGTCAAGCATCTGAGAAACAAAAACAACATTTTACACCATCATTATAATTGTATCACATCAATACCAAATTACATAGTAGTCAAAAGTAAAGCGACATTTGTACCAACTAGTGAAGAAAATGCTTTGTGTCTAGTTTATTCAAACTATATGCTAGGGATTACCAAGTGAACAGAGAATTGAACAAAAATGTGATTCAATAATCATAAGTAGGTCCATACATTATGATGGAGCTGTGGTCTGTTGGGTTTGGCAGTTAACTTTTCACCAGAGTCAAGAGTTCGAAACATGTTTTGTCTACCTGGGTTTTGATTACATACTAATGCCAAGGCAAAACATGTGTGATGTATTTTTTAGTACAGTAGAGCCAGTTACATATTATTATTGGGAAATATGTGAGGGTACAAAACTTTTTGTGGTCGTTCTAAGCGGAGTATATAATGTGAGCGTACCTTGCTATCCAAGTATATATTCCACCACAACGCTCTGAGTCACTTTAGTTGGTTAAAAAAAATAAATTTGGCACGAGGCTCGCAATTACCGAGAGTCTAAAGCTTAAACCGACGAATTAGAAATAGATGAATGAAATTATCATTATTTCAACACGGATATTGGTACAAGGAGGCACCAAATACATATGCGACACACAAATCCCATTTGATTTGTGAGAGGGCTGTAATACTGCCCGGGTGCCCAAACCGAAGCAGGTGGTTTTCTTAGGGGGCCACACCCGGAGCCTTCGACCTGAAGGTCTGACCCACAAGGCAGTGGAGCATCGTAAGGAGATGCAGTCCCATGGAAGCCGGTGACCAACAATTGGTTCATACGCCATTTGTTCCCGCAGAATACTGGAGCCCATGTGCACCATTGGTTTGGAATCCCCCGCCACGAGAAGGCAGTGAGTAGGACTTCCCTGGCAAAGGCTATATACGCGTGGCCACGTGAGAGCATTTCGAGAGGTCGTACCAGGGCATTTGGGGGCAAGATGAATGATAACCAAGTTCTTATCCATGTGAGCCAGTCTGATAAAAGTCGTGTATAGGGCCCAAGGGAAATGATATACCTTGTTATAAACTGTTTCAATATAAAAGATCATATGAGTTTCTAGATCAGAGAATATAAAACAACTTGCAATTTTCGGATATCTATGTTCCATACAAAAGAACGTGGATTGATTTAAAACTTTCTGTTTCATTTGTAACTCATACTACAGAGAGGCAAATATGCATCAAACACTGATTTTTAAGTTTTGGACAAGTCGATGTATTGGAGTATCAAAAGCAAAAATGCTTTTTATTTTTTACAGGTAGGATGATTAGTAGCTTAAAGAAGTTTAAAAGTAAATACTTCTGAACTACATACACTAATCAGAAGTTCAGTTAACCACTATTTCTAGTAATATGTAAGAAGAGCTAACTCCGCCTGGAGTTCCTCCGAGGGCTACTGCCGGTCCCAAGCCCGGATAAAGAAGGAGGGTTGGGCATGGGGTTAGCGACCCCATCCCTTAGAAAACTAACTCGCTAGTTAATTTATCCACTAACATACTTGTTTTCGATAGGAAAACCTTTTTAAACTGAGCTAAAACCACTGATCTGAACATACGAATGGCTTTCAAATTAGTGTTTCTCCCCTTATTTTAATACAAACTTATTTCCAAATGCATCCACCCATTACATACCGTCATTCCAACAATGTTAGGCTTAAGGAATACAAACTTTGCAAAGCGAAAGCATTTTAAGTATGTGTGTGTGCTTGAAAACGATTGGGATTTTATACAGCTGACAGCTATTCATATAACTACGCTTTCAAACTTTTAATCGACAACCTTGACTTGCGAGGTCAGGTAGCATATGTAACCCATTCTGATACATTATATGAGTTTGTAAGTGGTCATTTAGAACCGTCTACATACAAAGTCTAAATATTACGAAGGAACAACTAGCTGATAAAATACTGGGGTGAATAATGATTAAACTTTTTAACCGATGAGTGAATGGATAATTTATTTCCGAAACAGTTCCAAACTCCAACTGAACAGATACAGAGGGTAAATAGGTAAATAACGGTATAAAGTGATTTACAGTAAAATAGTTGACCAATGTGGTTTGACCATAGGATTTTTGTCAGATATCATTAGGTAGCACTGACCAATGTTACGCTATAAAACCAGTTAACAAATTGGTCTGGGTACATACCAACTCTTCCCATAATTCATACTTCTTGAAGACATATATATATCACTGATTAAGCGAAAACTGAAGGCTTTACAACTAACAGTTTGACTAGAGAAGAAAATCATGCTTATCTGATGTTGAACCTGGAGTGTTCTAACAACTTGAACGGAGCGTCTAATACCTTTCAGCAGTATCTTAAGGCGAATTCTGTACGTAAATGAGGGCCAAATTACTTGTGCCTTTTAGAGACGATCATCTGAGTAATATAAACATTTAGCCAGGTGTGCACTACAACTCAGATGTACGAAATAACGTCTTGAGATCACAAATGGTGTTTTATTACAAGTTAACATTTAAATGTACCCCATACGTCAGGAGCAGTTCGGAAGAATTTAGCTACGAAATGAACAGAAAACGATATAGGATATGTTAACAGATAAATATTACATACACTTAATTACAGTGACCTACATTATTTCCGTTTTCAAGATTTTGTACACACACGTTAAGCTTATCCAGCATCACAAATACTGATCCTTTATAATCACATCCTTGGAATAGGGATAACCTCAGCTCGCATTCAGAAACTACCAGGTAGAAAAATAAATGTAGACTTACGAATACCGTTATGCTCAATGAGTATAGAGGAGAGATTGATGGCCGCAACAGCAATTAATACATCAGGTCCCAATTTGAAATGATTAAAGACTTTTATTTGGATGATGCTCTTCGGAGATGCAATAACTGAGATAGACTCATTCCATGTAGGATTCCATGTCTTACGGCACACTTTGGTTTTGTAAACAAAAGTATTGTCAACTAATAAGTCTGCAAACAAATCACCGCTTTTGCTAAATAAGCTTTTACACGACGAAGAAAATGTAGCACATTTAACTAAAACACAAATTAGACGTAATGTGTGACTAACTCGTGATTACTAACTGGCTCAGTCTTCTTGAGAGGGACGTATCACATGTTGTAAGCATAGGGATAGCAAGGACTGTACAAAATGCTAACTAATGTGCTAAATATGTATTCAGATCTGAAGAGGGACGTTTCTCAGGAATGAAACATAGGCTCTGGATAACTACAAAGCGATTTGAAAAATTAGTGATGAGTAGTAATACCACTAGTATCAAAATTACTTTCACTGAGCTTATGTAAATGGATATTTGAAACGAGTAAGTCATAAAATTTATACCCTCATAGGTAATAATGAAGCGACCGGGAAAGTGGACCACAAGCAACAGGAACCACTTTGGGATATGCAGTTTCTTAGTACTGACAAGTGTAACTCATTAACCAAGTACAGGTTCATGTAGTGACCCTGATGGGTAAATCAAAGTAGGCGGAGCATAGTCGAACATTAAACCTGATAGCTGAAACTCGAGTGTCTGAACTACTGAAATTCATAGTTACAGCATAACTGCTCTGAGGTAGATGTTGTCGAATATTGCTACCATTAGATTTCAAGATGGCCAATAGATAGATATAGGCATATTGTGACTAAGGTTGGTTTGAATAGAACGGTTTGTGATACCCGACTCTTAGAGTGGTAAGCCTCCCATTAAAACGAATTTAATGCCTGCGGAGAATCAGTAAATTACTCCATTAGCTTAAAAGTCAGGAATGGGGCCTTAAACTGCTAGAAATGGTAGTAGTAAGGTATGCGATGAGCTGTTATAATTTAGACCACTATAGATTTTACAGCGAAGTACCTCTAAAATCTAAGAGGATTTCGTGCAATAAGGTTACTATAGTTTCGAAATGAAGAATAACTACATAATACTTGGAGAGTCATTCGTGATCCAATCACTTCATAACCTATCCAGTCACAAGCGTTGATTGTGACGAAGGTCATGTAAATACCGCTACTACTGACGTTGAAAACTTTGTTGATATTTTTTACGTTTATACATTGTCTGGTCCACCACAATTATTTAGTGAGCCGCGAATTCATTATAGACGTTTTCTGATTATATATATATATATATATTATTTTTATTACTTGGCACGCCAATCCATTATTTTTTCCACTATGAACTCTCCCACTAAACTCATTGATATTGATAGTCCACCTACCAATCCCCAAAATTCTTCACAACCTGAAGAAAACGCTTTAAGCTCCATCAACGCCATCTCAGAGTTAAGACTTCCAATGTATGGTGTTAATAATCCTAGAATCTGGTTCGCCCAGGTAGATGCATTATTTTTGGCACGAGGCATACGCCCTCAGGCGACCAAATACGCACACGTTGTCGGAGCACTACCAATAGAGGTGGCTACAGAGGTCGGCGATCTAATTGATAATGTAACTGAGACGGACCCCTACGACGAAATTAAAGCCGCAGTCATCCACCGTACGTCGCAGTCCGATGAAAAACGCTTACAACAACTGCTTCTAGCATGCTAATTAGGGGACAAAAGACCCTCGCAGTTACTTAGACATATGAAACAGTTAGCAGGATCATACAAGGTAGATGAAGCATTACTTAAACAAGTGTGGTTTCAACGACTACCACATACCGTTAGACAAATCCTTAGTGTCTCGGGAAAATCGGTCGCCCTAGATGATTCGGCCGACATGGCAGACAAAGTGATGGAAGTTTACCATGATAGTCCCCACGTTAACTCTGTGCAGCCAGTAGATATTAGTTGTTAAGCCTCCTTCCAAAAGCAGTTAACGCAATTAACGAGCCAGCTGGCGTCACTGCAATCGACAATAGCAACCATCCAAGCTAGACAATTGAGATCCCCATCCAAACGAATATCTTTTTCTAGACAACGGTCTTGATCACCGAAGCAAACATCTGCAGTTTGTTGGTATCATCAAAAATACGGCACCAAAGTACGGCGTTGCACACGACCGTGCACATTTTCTTCGACTGATACTGAGAATCAGGGAAACAGCCCGGCCAGGCAATGATGGCAGCGCCTGTTTCTGGCCATTTCTGGCTCAGACTTTTTAGTCGATACCGGGGCCGAAATCAGCATCTTCCCACTACATCTCTCTCAATGACGGCACTCTGAATGTTCCAAATTATCTCTCATCGCGGCCAACAACACAGTCATTAAAACTTATGGAGAACAGTCATTAGTCTTAGACCTCGGCCTCCGCAGGAGATTCACATGGGTATTTATTGTAGCTCAAGTCAAACAACCTATTCTCGGAGCCGACTTCCTCAGTGCTTACAACCTATTAGTAGATGTGGGCAACAGGAAGTTAATTGACAACAACACGAATTTACAGGTCATTGGCACAATCACCTTCAACTACGAAATGCATAGAGTTCGAGTGATAAAACCTGTGAACAACATCTTCACCGACATGTTGTCGAAATTTGAGTGCATCACTAAGGTAGATTACCGAAACGAATGTACCACCCACCATGTACAACATCACATTACTACCACAGGCCCACCAATACGCGCCAGGCCAAGAAGACTACCACCACATAAGCTAACAATTGCTAAGCGAGAATTCGAGCATATGATGCAACTAGGCATCATTAGGCAGTCTAGCAGCCCATGGGCTTCCCCACTACACATGGTCCCGAAAAAGGATCAAGATTGACGCCTCTGTGGAGACTACCGCCGTTTAGACAACCTGAATATCACGGATCGATACCCCATTCCTCACTTACACGACTTTTCTTTGAACCTACATGGAAAACGGATCTTTTGGAAGTTAGATCTAGTTCGAGCATATCATCAAATACCGATGGCACCTGGAGATATTGAAAAAACAGCCGTAATCACACCTGTTGGCTTGGTTGAATTCTCGAGGATGCCTTTCGGACTAAAAAACGCTACTCAAACCTTTCAGAGATTCATGGACGAAGTAACCACAGGTTTGGATTTTGTATTTGTCTATGTCGACGATGTTTTAATCGCTAGTTCTTCCACTGAAGAACATCTTCAGCACTTACACACACTTTTCAAACGTTTCAAAAGTTATGGTGTTGTAATCAATCCTTCGAAGTGTATATTCGGCGCCTCAAATCTGGAATTCCTGGGACACTACACCGATTCCCAAGGAATTAAACCGTCTGAAGAAAAAATCGAAGTCATAATCAATTTTCTTGAACCCAAGTCTATAAAAAGCATTACGCCGGTTCCTGGGGGTGTGCAACGTTTTCTCCGACGTTTTCTCCCTAGCCGTGCGGCCATTTTGCAACCTTTGACAGATTTACTGAAGACGGATAGAACTGAAGTTCAGACTATAGAAGAGAATATTTTCCCGTTAACGCTCGAAGCCAGAGAGGCTTTTCGTGCCTTAAGGTAACCCTCGTGCTATTGATAGAAGAAACCAGAGAAGTAGTGAATAGGTCTTTATTTCGATCTTCGCGTAGTCACAGTGGAGCGTGGGATTATCTGTTCAGACAAACAAAGGCTCTCAACATTCAAGATAATAGGGAATATAACGCTTATGAAAAATAAGGAAGTGAATGAATACTTGAACAATACTGTTTTGGCATAAGCTTGGTTGTTTGGGGTCAACTCTTAACCAACCAACCTGAGCTGTTACATTAGCTTCCCCCTAGAATCGACTTCCGTAGGAACGTCGGTTCGATTAACCTATCTATCGAAAACACCTTAGTTCTATTTCTCATCCCAAGGTAAAATTATCAACTCGCTCACTATTTGACTTACAATCAGTGACGACTAACGCTGTCAACGATAGTCCATGGATGTCTCCTCATTTACTAGCTTGTCATCTTATTTTGTAGCACGTGATCTATTCTACAACTATCGCTGACGGTTTACTGCGTGCTTTCAAGAGAAAGAGTGTGAGAATGTGGAATAAGAATATCTGAGGAAGTGCCGTGAGCGGGCTACCCAACACCATGTTGGTGAGGTACGATTTTTCCATGCTCAGACCGGCTATCAGGTGTTTACTCACCTGTCTCTTGAGTCGCCCTCAAGTAAAAAGTAAAGAAGAATCTACTTCAAAGGTAATGGTGAAAACCAATCACACCTGAAGAACTGCTCCACTGCCTGCATAAAAATAATAAGATACAAAATGGAAATACAAAAATATAATTTATAATTGTTCGGTTCCACGTAAGTGATTGGCCTCCAGAAAGGATTGGTATTCTGGAAGAAAATAGACATAGTGTAGCCATCTTATGTACGAAAAGGTATGAACACAAAAAAAAACTTTTTCATAATGCATATATGTAAAAGTGTAAACTTGCTAGAAGTTGGACTCATTGTCAAACCCGATCAAATGTATGACCTTGGGCCTATGACGACCGCCTTTTATAACCAGGTACGTAACCAAGGGTGCATAGTTGTACTCCACAAAACGGAAAAGAATATACGGTTAAGGAGGAGAAAAAAATTGTGTAGATTATGAGGATTAAGTACAATTGTGTCAAATACTCTTTTCTGGTTTGATCTAAGTATGTATGATATATTGAAACAATATTTCGTCAATTCATCCAAGTAACGAATTTGTCTGCACCTTAGAAATGTGTAAGTCCTATTACTCATTAGTATTATATATGATTAATCGGTAAAAGGAAAGATTGCAGTCATTCGCCCGTGGTTTGATGTAGTCTAATGGCTAGGCACACGGTCTAGCATCCAGGAGGGCAGAGGTTCGAGTGCGTGTGGGGCTAGCGTTTTCGTTCACCAAAACCCCCTTCAATACGATGTTTGTTGGCCATATGTTGCTCAGATATGAGAGAAAGATAACAGGAGGACGGACTGATATGTCAAAGTGCCATATTGGAATAGTACAAGTTCTTTGTTTTTATTAATAATAATGCTATAGAAAAAAAAACTACAAGTGTGGTAGATTTCCATTTTACGTTATAATTAAACCAACGAGAAAAAAAGGTATATGTATATATATAAGTTATTGACATAACATGTTTTTTTTATAACGCTAGTGTTAAGTTCCAGGATTTTGTATGGACCACTAATAATAATTGGTTTAACGTTAGCATAGCTGTGATATTCATATTAGTTCAATGTTGTGATTACTTAACAGTTCCCTTATAAGTTGTGTTTAAAATTAGGTATGTGGAATCAATGCGGCTAACATAGTAACCTTACAGTAACGCACTGTACTATATCTTCACGGTTATTGATTCTTAAATGTCAGAAATTTAAAAATAAATTTGAATATTGCCAATAATGATGGGTTATATGATCACACTAAAAAGCATGCTGTAGGAAAACTGGTTAAGTCATTATGTAAGTTTCCTAAACATGAAAAAAATGATGTGAACTTTAATAAGTATTTGACCATGGTTTAATCCAAAATGTTTTGTCTAGAAAACCACTTATTAATAGTAGTATTAATCGTATCAAGCTACTAAACATATCCTCAACCGAAAACTTTTAGAAGTAGTTCATATGGTATATATGTATAGCCAGTCTATGTGAAAAATGTATATAGATATATAAGAAGTACAGCCAACATCGTTAATTAACCAGAAAAAGAAATTATAAAACTCGCCTGGGTTGCTTTTTGAATTCGTTGTATTTGCCAGTGTTAGTTGTATGAGTTTGA